GCATACAATAGTCAAGATTCCAGAAATTCAGCAAAAATAGAGAAAATTAAAAGCTGTTGGAAGGAAGTAACAAATCACATGTAAAGGAAAGCCCATCAGAATCACAGCAGGCTTCTCACTACAAACAATAGAGTCAAGGAGAGCTTGGCTGTGTTTAAGCATTAAAGTAAAAAAACTACCAACCGAGATTGATGTATGCCCCAAAAGTATCTTCAAAATTGATTGAGAAATTAAATACTTCCATGACAGAACACAGCAGGATACTGAGCAACACAAAACCAGCACAACAACGTGTTTGAAGGATATTCTAGAAAACAGTATCTAGGATTACAATTTCATGATCCTCAGCAGAATGGATCCACCACGTGAGGCAAGAAATTAAAGAAAGGAGCAAAGCAGGGAGCAACCAACAGGACTGAGGTTTTTGTATCACCAGGTCTAGGGCATTTCCTGGGAAAAGTGCTCGTGTTCCCAGGAGAAGACCAGCAGGCCTTTAGGAACTGTTCTGAGCATGTTGTGTTCCTGGAACTCGTCCCACCTCCTCTCCCAGCCTGTTTGAGCTGTGGCTCACCTTCCCAGGTCAGTCTCGTGTACTTCAGGCTGGCCCTGGATTCAATAGGTAACCCAGTCTGGTCTCCGACTTGAGGGGATTCTCCTGTCCCAACTTCCGAAAGCGGGGGACACCACCATCCCTAGCCAAGAGGTATTTCTTTTCATTTGCTTTGAGACAGGGTCTCACTGTGTCCTTCGAGCTGGGCTTGATAATTAGTATGTGTCCCAGGCAGGCCTTGAAGTCTCGGGTGATCCTCCTGGGTCAGCTTTCTCAGTGCTGGAATTACAGGCGATCACTACCAGCCCGGTGCTTAACATGACAGCATCTTTTCTTCATTTCTTTCCAAATTTCATTAGCACATTTTAAATATACATAAAGGTAGTGTTCCTGATAGGGAATTTGAACTTGTATGGGACATATCTTTATCTTCTTTTCTCCATATTCCCTTTCCCTCCTTTCAACCCATGAGTTTCTTCTCTAAGACTGAGGGTGCACTTTGGACACAGGAATTGCTGCCTCTTTAACACCTGACCGGGTCCCTGAGCTCTGCTTCCCAGAATGCAGGGCGCTATGTAAATAGCCAACATCCAGAGTGAGGATGATTCATGCCATACGGCAAGACAGAGAGAGCTTTGAAATGTCATTTGTGGTGAGAATTATATGAAAAGAATGTATAGGTATTCAAATTAACTATTTCACATTTCACAAGCTATATAACCATACTGGAAAAAGTTATGTTTTTTTTGGCCTTTATATAAGTGTGTGAGAAGATGGCCTCCTGCCCGGATGATCCTCAGTGGTCTGGGGTGCAGGCTTCAAACCTGTAGCTGTCTGGCGACAGAGTGGTTCAATTCCACCTTCCGGGCGACGCTTTCTCTTTTTGCCCCACCTGCAAACCACGCTGGAGTGGGTCAGGTCTCCCGGGACACAGTCCCACGTCTGACGCTCTTGCCAGCTGGGCCTCTGACTGTGGTTGTTTTTTCTCTTGGGAATATCCAAGATGCCTGGGAAGATGAGATGGACTTTCCTGATACGCGGCCCCAGGATATGCGTGTGTGCTGCTCTCCTGTGCTTGCTGGTTCAGTCAGCCATTCATGAACTAATATCTCACTGTGTGAGAACTTTTTCGTCAACTCTTTGCTCATTTTCTCATTCTCTCATTCAACAAGCATTGGGGGAGTGGATTCTGGGGAAGACCTCTGCCCTGGGCATGGCTGGGGACACAGCAGCGATGGCAGCCCCAGCCCTGGCCTCAGAGCAGGAGTGGTTGATTGGACGCTGCAGACCAAGGGGTCCTGCCATTGTGCACTGAATTACCAAGCACAGAGGTGGTGACAGGGGAAGGAAAAGTGCAGAATGCAGGGCGCTGGCACACAAGGAAACCTGACCTCGTATCAGGGTGACTGACACTGGGGCAGGCACTGGCAGGATGAGAGGGCTCAGGGCACCAGAGGGGAAGCCTTTCCCGGGCCCAGAGGGGCAGCTCCAATACAGGTGTGGGCCTAGTAGGGTCTGCTTACCATGCACTGGATGCTGGCAACCAGGAGCCCTTTCTGTGCAATGGCAAACTGAGGTGGGCAGAGGCAATCTCTTCTCCAGGGCCCAGCTGGGGTGAGGCTGCAGCCCCAGAGGGCTCAGAACACCAGCCCCGTGTGTGCACTACTCTCGAGAATCGCTTTTCCCTAGCCAATGGCCCAATATACGTTCAGCTCCCTAATTACTAGGGGAGGGCAGCGGTGACATTATGGAGACTGAACGGTAGCCTTGGCGCTGAGCTCCAGCTCCAGCCCCTCACATTTTTGAGCCAGTTTGTCACTGTGTCCCTGAGCTGCCCAGACGGGGCCAGAACTTCGGATTGTCTTGGCTCACGAGGATTCACCACTATGCTGTGCCCTAAATGCCTCAGGAATCCCTCTCCTTCCTGTGCTGTGGCTCATGCTCTTGTTTCAGGTCTGCTCTCTAGTACTGCTCTCCTCCTTTGCAGTCACCCTGAGCCTGGTGACGAAAGGAGTCATCCTGAGGAAGAAATACACTCCTACCCTCCTGTGCTCAGAACCTGCCATGGACCCTAGCGCCCTCCAGAGAAAGTCTAAACGGTTGCACCTGCAGAATTAATGGCCTGCAGAAACTGGTACCCGCAAGACGCGCTCCCCATGTCTTTGCTCTGTACCCATGGACCTTGACCTCCTGCCAGTCATCAAGCCCTGTCTCTCCCAAGCAGGTCCTTGAGCTGGCAATGTTCTGGCCCCTGCCTCGTAGTCCCGCCGAAACTTTGCATGTGTCTCCCAGGACCCAGGGCAGCTGTGCCCTCCCACATGAAGATCCTGCGGATTCTCGGTGAAGGTGAGCTGCACCTACCGGGTCCCCTCAGTCCCATGGGGTCGTTGGCCCTGTTCCCTTTGCGTTGTCTCTGACTAGGGATGGATCTGTAGCCATCGTTTCCTTTTGAGCCCTAGGAGAGCAGGCCAGGCCTGAGGGCTCTGTCCCTTCCATGTCTCCAGTGCATAGCAGGTGCTTGGGAAAAGCACGTTTTTTGAGACAGCAGCTCACTAGGAGGCAAGTGTAAGTTGAAACAGCTGATCGTCCTGCTCAGCCCATGAGTGCTGAAGGACAGGTGTGTGGCGCTACACCTGACAGCTCTCCTGCTTATCATCTGCTGAAATATTCACCGCCTCCCTCCCCAGAGTGCTCACTGCCGTGCAGCGAGGGTTGGATCTTGCAGTGGGAACGGATCCAGTGCAGCTCTGAGAAGAGAAAACAGCGACGCACTTGTTCATGGAGCCTTGGGGTTGCCCCACTGTGTCCGTATCCCAAAAAGGCGGCCACAGACAATCAGAAGGACACATGTTGAGGGGAAGAGAGCCAAGTTTCAGCAGTGCCTAGAACCCGGAGAGCTCTGTTCACGACTGGGATGGTCTGCAATGGTGCGAGTGCGGATTTCTCAAACCTCTTCTAGAGAGGCTTGGTTTCCAACCCCTTGAGCTGCTGCTGAAGCCTCTCGGCATCCCACCTCTGACCAAAATTCTTCCTTCCCCGGGATGTCTCTGAGACCCCGAAGCACACCAAACCTCACAGCTGCCATTTTCTCCTCATCTTTCCCTTGTGAGAGGCACAGCCTGTGAGCACGCAAAGTCAGTCCTGACCTGGGGCCCCTGCATCCTGCTGTAATCTGGATCGTAACGGTGCTCACCTTCCTCTG